GCTTTTTCGGGTTCAAAATGCAATACTATAAATTTGTCGATATCTGTCTTTGGAAGAGTAGCTATTTGACGTGTATATATGAATTTGTCGAATAAAAGTTCCATAAATTCTTGAATTTGTCGAATTAAAATAAACAACTGTTCATGACTTCGTCGATTGTTTAAATTCTTCGATAATGCCTTGCGACCTTGGGGACTTGAGCCCGCAGATCTCGGATTTATTTTGAGTAGAATTACATGAAGTTTTCCATAAACACGTGTTTCGTTTGTTCGCCGTTCAGTGCTTCCATTTTCAAGGAAATTTCCTTTTCTAAGGAAATTCTAGTGTCGAAAAGGAAAATCTAAGGAAGAGAAAAAATCTAAGGAAATCTAAGGAATTTTTCCAAACAACTTAATTATTCATCCAAGTGCATTAGTGCAGAAGAAAGTTTCACTATTTCTTGAATTTTGAGTGAATCATCAATTATGTTTAATTAAAAATCTGTTTTTAACATTTTCCTCGTGTTTCCGAAAACGTCTGAAAGTTTTTGAGCTATAGGATTTGGTAACTTTTGGCGCCAAACCCTGTGAATAATTAATTATTTATATCAATGAAAGGTATATGTTGTAAACTCATAACAAATATTTAATTTTAAACAGTATAATAGCCTGCGGTTTTTTAGCTAGTCATCTTTCTTAATTGTGCTATTTTGTGCCTTTAAAATTGATTAAATCTTTTGTATTGCTACAAAAGCACTGCAAACCGCTTAATGAAATTTCAAGGAATTTTCAAGGAAATAACGTATACAATCTAAGGAATTTAGAGAAATTTTGATGACAAAAATGAGAAATTTTGATTTTGAAAATGGAAGCACTGTCGCCGTTCTTGCATTATTCATTTATATACGTTTATTTTAATAAATGAATGAAAAAGCCTGTCGATATTAGACACTAAAAATGGAAAATATTCTGAGAGACTGTGCAGAAAAACTTATTACAGCTGCTAATAGCATCGTTTCTGTTCCTGCTGGACAACAAATGTCTCAACAAATGTGTCAACAAATTTTGTTCTAACACATTGGGAAGAGTTGTTCTGTTTTCTAAATTTAAATTTCGAAGCAGTGAAATAACTTCTGAAATAGCATGGAAGGTTGAGTTAAATCTGTTTCCCATTCGAGTCAAGTGACCACATATTAGTTCCAAGCGAATGATATATAAGGAAGTCTACAACTTCTTCGTCTGGACTGGACTGCAATCTTCTGGACAGATCAAGAAGGGACTGCCTTAATCTTGATGCATACAAACTTATTACATCATTCGCCTGCGCCATCTTGTGAAAATTCTATGTAAAATTAAATGACGTTTTCATTTTTTTTATTGATACTTTGAGATCTGCGGGCTCAAGTCCCCAAGGTCGCAAGGCATTATCGAAGAATTTAAACAATCGACGAAGTCATGAACAGTTGTTTATTTTAATTCGACAAATTCAAGAATTTATGGAACTTTTATTCGACAAATTCATATATACACGTCAAATAGCTACTCTTCCAAAGACAGATATCGACAAATTTAAAGTATTGTATTTTGAACCTGAAAAAGCGCCATACCTCCCAAGCCAAGTTCTCTCCCAAGCCAAGTTCTCTCCCAAGCCAAGTTCCCTCCCAAGCCAAGTTCCCTCCCAAGCCAAGTTCTCTCCCAAGCCAAGTTCTCTCCCAAGCCAAGTTCTCTCCCAAGCCAAGTTCTCTCCCAAGCCAAGTTCTCTCTCAAGCCAAGTTCTCTCCCAAGCCAAGTTCTCTCCCAAGCCAAGTTCTCTCCCAAGCCAAGTTCTCTCCCAAGCCAAGTTCTCTCCCAAGCCAAGTTCTCTCCCAAGCCAAGTTCTCTCCCAAGCCAAGTTCTCTCCCAAGCCAAGTTCTCTCCCAAGCCAAGTTCTCTCCCAAGCCAAGTTCTCTCCCAAGCCAAGTTCTCGCCCCAGCCAAGTTCTCTCCCCAGCCAAGTTCTCTCCCAAGACAAGTTCTCTCCCCAGCCAAGTTCTCGCCCACACATTGTATTTATATATTTTTGAGATTATATTTGTATGGGAACTGAGCAGGCTCTGTTTGCCAAAATCTCACTTGGACAAGGCAATATCAGTAACAGTTTACTAAAGAATTTTGCATCTGTTTTAACTGTAAAAGCTATTTGTAAAATCATGCCAGTTTTCTTATCTACTTGATAGTCTATGTACAACTTTTTCAATTTTTTGTATCATTAGTCTAAAACCAAGCTACTTTTCACAGTTCACCTATTAAACTGCAATGTGCCCTAATGCACCATACTTATTTTATGCCCAGGTGTCTTTGTGCCCATCTTTGGGAAAATATTGGCCATTCATGGGTTTAGTTTTATGTATTCATTTATGTATTGAGATTAGACAGAAGCAATGTCTGCAAGCAGGAATTCCAGCACTGCTTGGCAAAAGTTGTAGTGTATTTTATGCCAGGATGGTAAAGTATTGAGCATTCATTTATTTTATGTATTCATTTATGATGTATTGAGATTCAACAGAAGCAGTGTCTGCAAGCAGGAATTCCAGCATAGTTTGGCAAGTAGTTGTGTACAATTGCTGGGCTTTCTCTTAGCTGATGATGTTAAGACATGACTATAGTGTATGTATGGAAAAATTTGGTTTTCAAAATGCAGGGATGGGATATTATGTATTTGGTATTAGTTGATAAATATTGGCAATTATCCCAACCATATTTTTGCCTTTAGGGTCAACACATTTAATCCAATATCATTGGCATTGCCTGGAGCTCAGAGAATATTTATGAGATTATACAATCAGAAAGTGCTAATGGCACATAAAATTAGTTTATTTTCAAAACATGTTTCTTAATTAAAGTTAAGATTAAGGTTATCTTTGGGTAATTCATGAATCATGAGACTCATGATTGAAAAACATGCATATATGTTATTGCAATTGAAGAATTTGCAGTTCTAAGTGGCGGCTCAAAATGTTTGGCAACGTCCAAATTTCCGAAAGTAAAAATTTCTAAAAAAACCATTTTGTGTCAGACTATCCAATATATATAATATTATTTGAGCACTTCATCTGGCCGACGTATCAGCGACAATTCATTGCTTTATAACTTTATAACTAATAAAATAAGCAACACCCAAACTGTTCTCAGGAACAAGGAACAATGTTGTTTTACAACAGACATTTTCCCCTTTCAAACATTTGCCTTCTACAGACTACAATGTCAGTATTCTTTCCTTCCTCGACTGATCTGCTTCTTTCAAAACATTAGAATTCTGTTTGAAAACATCACAAACAAACTTTATTCAAACAGAGCTACCAATACTAGTACGTAGAATATAAAACATAATAAATTTACAGAGAGACTAGATTAAAAATTAGATTTATACCAGTTATAATTGATCAAAATTTGTTAGGACATCGAAGCAATACTTGGCTACCAATGTCTCCACGGATTCGTCTTTCATTACAATAACATACGTGAACAAGTCATGATTATTAAAAGAACGAAACGAGTGATCTATTTGGTTAAGCTTATAGATAAAATCCGCTGTGAGACGAGTGAACCTTGTATATATTGCTGTTCGTTTCCGACCTCGTTTAAATGGCAATGCCACGATGTTGACAGTGAATTCTTTTATCGTATGGAATATTGCTATAACGACCAGTTTCAACAGGTAATCTAGATCTAGTGCTGTTATGTGAGAAAACATTAGAACTCTGTTTGAAAACATTCGAATGGTAATTCACACCCATGACCCTCGTTTTCGTCATTCTTTGTTATGTAATATGTACACAGACAACACAGTTTTACTAGCTATACATACAGAAGGGGGCAAAAGAATAAACGAGTTGCTTGGCGTTCGGTTAAACCTAGTTCACACACAACACCTGCATGTATTGATAGAGCGCAGCACATTTCACATGCGATGCTGTGCGTGAATGTCTAAACAAATAAATCATCGTAGACGTAGTTTGGGTAATGAGTAATGTGTGTCGCGAGTCAATTGTCGTAGTACCGATTCATACAGGCAGCAGAAAAAATACACAGTGTCTAGTAGGTTTTTATTATAAGAGGAGCAAAAAGCAAATATAATTTTGTTATTCTTTAGCATCCCTTAATTAATTTCGGAGTGGCCAATTCAGGTGGTTTTATTAATTTCAAGCCTAAATGGGAGGAATATTTGAGACAAGCAGAACTGTATAGTGTATTAGCCTTTTCCGATAGTCCTGTCTAGTCGCGCGAATCCCATGTTGGAGGGGGACAAGAAATACATTAATAATACATTGAATTGATAAGATATTTCATTTTTGGTCGTCTAAAAATTTGATATTTGATATAGTGGATACTATATTTGATATAGTGGATACTCTTTCACATATTTGACGCCTGTCACCATATATTTTCTCCCTCCAAACGATCCCAGAATGCACTGTGATCTCTTTTGGGAAAACTGCTAATTACCCTTTCTGCCCAAGCAGTGAACATGGAAACATTTTATATTTACATATTTAGCCTGCGCGCAGACTATATAATGACATATAATGACTATATATATGTCACGTCATTATATAGTCTGCGCGCAGGCTAGGAAACATTGAACTTTTTGTTAAAAACAAGTGTCTAGGACTGGGGGCAACCAAATATGTTCACTGTTCTCATCTTCCGAACAAGGCTGAAAATTTTAATTGTTAAAGCAAGAAGTTGAAAGACGCGTTATTCTATTTTACGTCGCAGCTGATCTCCAAGTTGAGATGAATATAACTTTGTATATAAAGTGTCGAGTTTTACCGTGTTCCATTAATGGGGGAAAGTTGCCACGGGAGTTCTTCAACTTGTTTTTGTAAATATGTTGTAATTTCAAGCAGTTGGACACCAGACACGGCATTTCCTTGCAGGGAGATATCTTAATTATTTGTGACACGAAGATTGATTGTGACACGCCTTTCTTAAAGATTGTGTGCTTTTAATAAATAAAGTTGTGTGCCTACCACGTATACACTCGTGTGATACTAGCTGTCCTGCCCGATACGTCAAAAGCATTTAATAAAAAATTAGGTCAGGAGGAGTTATAAAAAAGTCGCATATATTCGACACATTTTACGTGTGGGAAATATATTAGCCTTAGTACACAACTTTTGCCTAAAACTGTCGCATGCAATCTGCTTACAACTTAAGTTGTACTGTATAAATCAACACAACTCGCCTACGTTGTCGACTTGTTCGTAGGTGAGTTGTGTGCTTGATTTACACAGCACAACTTAAGTTGTAAGCAGGTTACATGCGATAGTTTTAGGCAAAAGTTGTGTCGTGTAATCATTGATTTTGAAGAAATGCAGTAATCGTCTGTGGCTCAGGCTACAGCAGAAGATTTACATAAGTAATGCAATACTGATGCCGTAAATAACCAGTTAGGTGAGGAAATAAGGCCGATGAAGTAACCAGAGCGTTTTAAGGAGAACGTCGATGTTTCGAGCGAAGGCCCTTCCTCGAGAAGTTAGTTATAGTTGCAATATAGTCGTCTGTATCAAACATCGCCTCTAGGTCCATCTAACACTTTATTCTACCAGCTTCTTACATGCTATTTTGAGATAATATTCAGAACGAGTTTTGAGATAATATTCAAAACATTTCTATTGAGTATTGAAAATTAATGTTCCTTCTTAATAGCTCATTTTATGATTTATAATCTACTTAATGGATTTTTAAGACCAAGACATTAACAGTTGACTGCCAACATCTTCTCATTTTGAGATAATTCTCGCAGTAAAAGATATGCCTGTCGTGATATAGTACGTATTCTAGCAAAGTCCAAAACCCTTTAATAACGGATATTAGTAGCACTTGGCACGTAGCTTCTTATGATCACGACATACATTTTCCCATTTTCAGATCTATCAGCTACAAAGTTACCAATTCAGGACAATGTTTATTCAAAATTAATATTCTGTCCTAATGGTTTAATGATTTATAAAACACTTAATGGATTTATAAGGTTATAGGTAATAGCAAGCTCCCCTGCTAGGCTCAATGGACTTGCTACTGTGTTACACTGTTACCCACTTCTTAATCAAACATAATGTGTCTCATTCTCTTAATGGATTAATACAAAGGATTAATACAATATACCAACTAAATCTGTTGCCCATTTTAATGTTACATATAGTAAAATACGTAATGATAATGGAAAATTACGAGCATGTTCATATTATAGGCACGCCAGGCAAAAAGGGTATGTCAAATAGCTGGTCTGTACCCCTACAGACAAATTTATTCGACACAGTCCTGTGCACCAGTTGACTATTAACAACAACATTAATACTTTTAAAAATTTTTAAAATTTTATCATGTCCTTTTCAACAGCAGGAGTTTTCCGTTCCTTAAAAGCCAGGAACGCCCCATTCATGCATCGTGTGCAGGGAAATGTTTTTCTCATAATGATCTTGAACAGTCTGTGTAGGTCGTGGCAATAATAGCAAAACTTTCTTGGATAGAAATACAACTACCTGAAAAATACAAGGAGAAATTCGAAGTTTCGAGCGAAGGCTCTTTGTAGGGAAGTCAGGCTTCCCGAAGCAGTGTCTTCGCTCGAAACGTCGAATTTCTCCTTGTATTTTTCAGGTAGTTGTGTACCAACGAAACATTCATTTTTCTGATAACACTATATTTTAATGGCCCTCGAATTGTTTAAAAAGTCCAAAGAAAAAACAAACTAGAAAGTTCAGATTGGTTTTGAGTATTTGATATATAACCTCCGTTTACACGAGCAAATTAATTGTTCCATTTTTCACTGGTGTGTGTTAACCATTGATATATAAATGAACATAAACAAACAAACATGCAAACTTTGTTGAAACAGGGATACCATGCACTATACTGGTACATTGAATACAAAACATATTAAATTTATATACGTCAGATAGATATTAGTAGCACTTGACTCTATAGCATCTTACATCTTACGATTACGACATAACTTTTGCAGTACACGTTGTAGTACAGTATAACTATTGAATTCCATACAGCCATACCAAGACATTTTGTTTTAAGAACTAATAGAAATAAATGTATCATTTGTAGCGAAGGACCACTATCAGAAAAGTTTTGGAGAAGTGAATAATCAGCTATAAGGTTTATCACAAATGTGAAAACCTCTATATTTTTCGGCTCCAAATGTAACAATTGTGTTAGTTTTTGACCTGGGTGATAATCAAATCCATCCTTTTAATTTGGTTGAAATATCAGCACAGACAGTTGTCTCTTGTTAAATATTTTAAACTCGTACATGTCCTCATATGCGGAATCTTTGTATAATACAAGTGAAACTTATAATTATATAGACATATAGTGTTGTTATTTTCCGACACAGCAAATATTTTTTCAGGATTTTTAGTAAAAAATATGTAAACATTTGTTATTTATTTTCAGAGGCGGCAAGAATTCCAGGAATGTTTGTACTACGTGTAAAGGTAAGACGCAAGAGGCTATATTTGATATAAGTCGTATTGTTTTAATATGACATCGTTTGTATATCTCTCTGTACTCTCTTTGATTCATTTCGGACATAACCTGCCATTTAAGTACGCGCCCTGGGTAAAATGGCCGGAAACTTGAATAGTCTGGATATAACGAAAATGATGACAAATGTCTGTCTAAGAAAAGTTATTAATTTTGTGTCATTATGCGATCAATCATTGCTGACCCGAGCACTTTTTAATGAAAATTGGGGAAAAAACCCGCAACATCCTGTGGATAAACACAGTATACAATATTTTACTAGTACTCGGGTCATTCTCTATTCAATTTTCAAAAGAAGCTATATATACATTAAAATGATAAAAGAAAAACCAAACTTTTTCTACCAGAATGTAATCGTTGTTGTATGCTGGCCAGCAATTGGCATTCTTGCCCCAGACTCTCTTCTGGCTGCGCGGCGTGTCTTCGTTCTTATTATCTCGCTTTATTGATAACCATTTATTAAAAAAATAGGTATGCCATGGCGTACATGGCGTCTACTGGGCAAATGCTAATGCAAATAAAATACATGAAATCATTGAAATGACGATTTTATTAGACTAAAGACAGGCTAAAACATGTTGCACAAATGTACAGGTTCCTGAACCTGTCAAGTAGTTCTTTTCCAAGATACACACATGGAAATCCATTTTCACAGAAATTCACAGATAGTTTAATTTGAAATTTTAGCATCTCTTGAAGCGCATCGAAGTTTATTTATATAAATAAAGATATATCTTCAGGTGACAGAAGCACAGAAACATTATGTCAATTTTGCTCCATCAATTTCTTTAGCTTGTTAGATATGTTTTCATCCAGATTCCAGGGAACCAGTATAACCGCACGCAAAGATTTGCAAGTTGAGGTCATTTCTAAAAATAGGTACGCTATAGCGTACATGGCGTCTACTATGCTAATGCGAATAAAATACATGAAATAACAATTTTATTAGACTTTAGTCTAGATAGGCCATGACATATTACACTAATATACAGGTTCCTGAATACTTTAACTAATCATAGCTTTCGCAGGAAGAACCTGGCGCGTCAATCAGTTCTGAAAGATGTTCAGTTCATACATAATTCGTATGCAGAAATGTTAGTTAATACTAAGCGATTTCTCTTCGAAGATCTTTGTGATCCATAGTTCAACATATTCAATGGACAGATTTTCGTTGCGAAATGATGGCATGCATGGACTACATAAAGAATTCCATTCTCTTTAAAAACTTTATCATCATTATTTTATTAGTTTGTCGAGTAGTTATTTTCCAAGATAAATACATGGAAATTCCATTTTCATACTTTGTTCCAATTAACCCATATAGTATTTCCACAGTGCGACGTTGAAAATTTAAAGGCCAATATCTCGACACATAAATACAGTTCAAAATTTTTTACTCATTGTTGCTATTGCATGCTAACCTCAGAACTAATTTTTAAGTCCTGTTCACATGAATCTGGGACAGCACTTTGTCCCGGGGTGAGCAATTGTCGTGGGACAATAACTGTCTCGGCTTGTAAAACAGTAGTGCTGTTGACATGGTATTTTACTTGTCCCAGCATAGGCAGCCCAGAAATGCGTGGTATTTGTCTCTTTTATGTAGTTTCATAGCTTGGAAAAGTTTTGAAAGCTGGGGCGTGCATTTACGTATCTACTCATCCTCGTACTCAGGGTCTTTTTGGGAGTGGCACCAGAGTGCGAGAGAAAATAGCCTGGGTACGAGGTTTGGAGTCTACTTTGTTTATTATTATGACAAAGTTGGCGGGAAAATTGCTTTGTCGACCCGTGCATCGTACCCGGTAATTTCAGAAGGATTATTTTGGCCCGCAACGGCCATTTTAGCTTTTTAAAACATCGACTGTTTTAGTTCAGAAGCGCCATTCGGTGGCAAAATGGTGCCACTAAAATTACTGTGTACTTATTTTCTCTAATGATTTAGTCACACGAAGACTGAGCAACTACACCGTGGTTCCTGGCGACAGAGTGACGTTGAGATGTGCCTTTAGAGGCATTCATCATACGAATATCACATGGTTTCGGAATGGAAAACCACTGAAACAAACCAGGTCCAGAAATATTGTGATAAGGTAAATATTTACTGAAGCCTCTTCAATTTATAAAACATACCCAGTATTTGACTGGACGCAGGAAGAGAAACAAGTTTAATGAAATTATTTTTACTGGTGCAAAGTGAATAACGAGTCTTACGGGACCTTCCGCTAACTGGATCATTAGGGACCTTCCGCTAACTGGATATAGTTAGTACAGAGTCGATATAGAAAATTGTTTTTTATAGTATAATTATATATGGACGGTCATGTGACACTGGCGTTGTCTTGGGTGCGAAGTTTTGAAGACAATATTATGCATTTGCAGACTTACTGAAGTCGAAGCTAAGCAATGTACAATGCTGCACCCAGTAATTATGCAAACGGTCTGTGTGGAATTTTCATGGATTTAGGCTGGAAGGCATGCATATCTATTCTACAATTTTCATACATTGCCTTTACTGCTTGAAAAATAGAAGGAAAGCAGGAGTTTTCAAAATGAAACCTTCAACTGTTTATATGTTTCATCTATATCATCAGATTTAAAACTCGCTCACTTCTCATTATTTCTGCAGTAAATGGCAGAATCAGAATGGCTCGAAATTACGAATAAAGAAAGTGACATCAAGAATGACAGGTTCCTACAGCTGTGTTGGTCATAATGTCAGAGATCAGTACATTATTTCAACTGGATATGTTAGAGTATCACGGGGTAAGATGATTATAGTCATTATACCTGGATTGTTTCTGTTGCATTCGTTGAACGTTTCATTGCACCGAGCCTATAATGGCAATGAACGTCAATACTTTAGCTAACATTAAAGTGCCTACATATGACACGAAATTTCACCCCAAATGTTTATGGTTGCATTGTAAAGATCACTTAATAAAATGACTTAATAATTTCTTTTATAGAATTTTGGTAACTTGCTTCCTTTGCAAGATATTCAACTTTGTTTCATATGCAAATATCACCGGTGTGACATCACATCGCATAATGACATTTTGAAAACACAACATTTTACCTTGATAAAATATTTTTACAAACAAATACAGAGGGTTAATTACCAGTTATGAAATTAATACACATAGAAGGCCAATTTTTAAGTTTTTTAGATACGTATTCGTCAAGAAAACTATACTTTTCTGAAAACTCATTATGCGATGTGATGTCACACCGGTGATATTTGCATATGAAACAAAGTTGAATATCTTGAAAAGGGAGCAAGTTACCAAAACTCTATAAAAGAAATTATGAAGTCATTTTAAGTGATCTTTGCAATGCAACCATAAACCTTTGGGGTGAAATTTCGTGTCGTAGGCACTTTAACATTCGGCACATAAAACAGTATGTCGACGTTTGACTGTGTCCTAATTTGGGTTGCTTTCTGATAGAAGAATGTGTGAAGTTAATATAAACGTATTTTTTGCTTATAGCTAACCGTGATAATGCCAAAGCACTCACAACCACTCCAAGGTAAGTCTTGCTATAGAAATACACAGAATATTTTTACAATAATATGGAATTAGGGTTTTGTCGAATTCGTGTCAGTCATAATATTTTCACGAATGCAGTGAACTCGTTACCACGATGGTCCATTTGCATTCAATTTTTGAATTTATTTTTCTAGTGCAAATTAGTCCGCGAGAGGCAATGACTACCTCTCATTCTTTGTTTTCTAAGCCTGTTTCCCTCTGGGCGAAGCACCACTTTCGGCACCGCTTTCGCCTGACCTGATAAGCGATGTATATGCCGACAAAGGAAAAAGCACTCAAACGCACGAACAAATTCGCCTAATAGACAAATTTGACCAACGTTGTTTACATCGTTGCTACCCAATCATAACTATAGATCACTTACATGCCTAGTTACTATTGTTCTAGTTTATAAAAGCGTAGAACAAAGGTGAGTAAGGATTGGAATTGTGTGTAAGAGTTATTCAGCCATGTAGATAATGTTCGATTCTAAACTTCTGTAAACTAGAACAATGGTAACTACAGTAGGCATGTGTCTATTTAAGGGCGCCCAAATTTCCTAGAAAATATGGCCCGGGGGACCATATGGAAATTTAGCGGCAACATTTTTGGGGGGCTATATATTCCCTGTTGCATGGGTACAGCAGGTCCCGAGTAGGTCCTTCATAAGTGTCGTAATATTAGGTTGTCTAAATAGATCTGGTAAATAACAGTGCATTGCGACGTCTTCCACGCTGTTCTTAGGTATTTGAAACAAAGTATGCATATTTTGTCTCTTTCTTTGATTTCAGTGTTGTGTTAAAACAAAGAAACGGCAAGTGTGAGATGTACGTGGGTACGATATGTGCGCGATATATACAGGATAACGGAATTATATTTGTGGAAAGCGGTGCTCAGAAGAGCCAGGGCTTTATTGAAGCGAAGTTAAAGTTTGCTTACAAAATCATGAGTGCAAACTTAACAAAATCGTGTCGTCCAGCAGCGCTCCCGTTGTGGTGTCACCACCATTTTCCCGCATGTAGTGTAGTGAACTCGAAAGCTGAACCCAAGTCGATTTGTAAAAGTGAATGTAATCATATTCAGAACAACGATTGTAAAGTAGAGTATGCTGAAACAAGAAAGGCGTCTTCTCAGAGTTCAGAGGATGATCTGTTTCCTGATTGTAAACTGTTACCCAGTGAAGATCATTCACAGTCGAACTGTGTTTCCATCAAACGCCATGTTCCTTCGTTACGGCCAGGTAACTAATGAATTCCTTTACGGAACTTGACGGTTTATTAACACATCTTTCGTCAGCTGCATGACTTTGTGGTTTGTTTTCGATACAAATGAAATATTAAATGTATTATCATATGGCATGAAACATTCTTTAGCCCATATTACACGCGTAGCTCGTGTACTACACTCACAATTGCTAACAGCATTGTACAAATTTAACAAAAGACAACAAAAATGGAAAAAGTTTGGTTCCGTAGCTCAACTGGCAGAACGTTATGGGTTTATTTCCCATGCCTCCTGCACTCTCAGCTGCAAACAAAACAACTTATATATTGAACTCTCAATTGTTGAACAATTTAATTACTGAAATAATGAAACTAATGTTTTTATCTTTCTTGATTTAGGTGCTGTTATCAAACCAGCAAGGTAATGTCATGTGAATTAAGCAAGTCGTAAATGTAAACTAATATGAGCAAGAACATTTCTTACATAATAACTAGAGGGAAACACGCAATTTGATTGGTCAATACTCGGCTCGTGTTTTTTTACACTTTCTGAACCTCTCGCAACATTCCGCGTGGATGGATAAACCACGGAAATCATTTGGTAATCCTTTATTACAACTTTCAACTGAAAATTGCTTCCCTTCATTTTCAGCGGTAGATGCACGATGTACAATGGTGATGTATGTAAGAAACCTGGCAAGAAAGTGTTCGTTAAAGATGGGACGACAATATCCGATATTGAGAAAGAAATTCAAGACACAATGAAAGGGAAGTACGTGTCAAGCCAATGTCACTCTTACGTCCAGCCACTACTGTGTCAACTACGTCTGCCTGATTGTGATGAATCGTCTACCACTCCTAAAGGAAAGCCAATCTGTCAAGATGAATGTTTAGTACTCAAGAATAAGTTCTGTAAAAAGGAATATTCACATGCTAAGAAAGTCAGCGCTACAAATATCTTTTTTGATTGTTCGTCCGTGCCATCGCTGACCACTGCAAGTGGAAAATGTTCTTCTGTAGGAGTGCCTTCAAAAGATCTAGGTAAGAATTATTTCAACTAAAATACACCTTTTATTCCACATCTACACACGATATAACTAATGTAGAATATGTTTGTGATGTTGTCTCTGAGTGTGTCCACAGCTGAATAGTTTGCTTGACTGCGATGAGAATCGCACCTGCGATCTTTAGTTTGCCAGTCCGATGCTCTGCCAACTGAGCTACGAGGTCAAGTCGGTTCGAGTGCGTGACATTTCGGAACTCAGTCTAGTTCCCTGGATATCAGTGTGTTTCAAAGATCTTAAATGTTTCTGCACTCAGGTGAAGATATATGTTTGTGATGTTGTCTGCGAGTGTGTCCACATAATGGTTTCTTCTACAATAAAAAATCCTTCCTGCACAATTAGTTATATCGAGTGAGGTGCCCATACAGCTTACATTCGTTTGACCTTAGTATATATTTACATGAACTTGCGATTAGAGCTCGACAACCGGCCTCTGGGAAGCCTATATTTATCTTAGAGCTACAATGAGGACTTTTCCTGTTTCAGTGTTACGAAGTGTACCCATAAAAAGTCTGCAGTACTTAAGCTTTTTGGTGTCTATTAAATGGAAGCACACGTTCCAGGTTAAATTATAATCAGAAAACTGCATATCGCATTGAGGAATTGTAGGCATTATAAAATAGCAAAATGTGTGGGAAATAAAGGAACGTGTCTTTTGGAGTGTAACATGCCTCTTGTTTTCTTTTCAGCCTCTCCTGACGAAATGTAAGTAATTTCCATTATTTTTCTTTTTCGACGCTGAATCCTTTTGCAGGAATTTTAGATGATTTTGATGGCATGTCGTTACTTTCTGAAATCTAAGTAGTAATGGCAACTGTATTCGTTCAGTAAATATAGTTTTATTAGAAGCGCTCTCTAACAAAGATTCTCATTTTCTAGCCCTATTCCAACAAAAAAGATTGGAAGATGTCAGCCTTACACAGGAACAATTTGTAAAGATTTTCTTAAGGGGAAAAACATCTTCCTTGAAGTGGACCACCTTGAATCTCACATTGAAAGAAAGATCTTCAATGCCATTAGAGATATTGAAGGTTTTCCCGACTTGTCACCAAAATGCGAACCGTATGTTTTGCCTCTCATGTGTCATCATCTTTTCCCGTACTGTGTGCCGAATAGTCAAAGTCAACCTAAACCAAGCTACATTTGCCGAGAAGATTGCTTCCGTATTCAACTTGAATTCTGTCACAGCGAATATCCGATAGCTGAATACGAAAGCCTAACTGCTGGATCAATTCTGTTTCCAAGTTGCAAAGAGTTACCAATGTCAAATGAACGATGCACACCATTAAAGAGTATCACGAATAGAACAGGTAGGGGGAAAACTATGAAACTCTAAACCAACAGTACGGCTTGTGCTAGCCAAACTAACATTGTAAAACAACCAATAAACTGGCTGACAATTACTTGAATGGTCTGTGCCAATAATTGGATTGATAGGGATGCAACTACCTGAAAAATACAAGGAGAACTTCGACATTTCGAGCGCTTCGTCGGGAAGTTTGATAGTAGCCAAAGTAACATTAGCCAAAGGTCATCCCTATCATTACTAAATGATGTTCGAGCAAAACAAATTAAAAAGCCATTCATATAAATGGACGAGAAAGCAGTGAACGAAACAAACCTTAGGAACAAACCAACTGCATTACTTTGTAACTGATCTTAAATTTGATTCCATTTAAGAACCCGCCATCCCTGGAGATTGTTACCGTGACAACGGCAAGGAATATGGAGGTTTTACCAACACAACAGAATCTGGTGCACCTTGTCAACGTTGGGGGGATAAGATGCCTGGTTCCTCGTATGCCAAGCTTCAGGGTGGCCATAACTTTTGTCGTAACCTACGAGGGAAAAATAAGAAACCGTGGTGTTTTACAGATCAACAAGTGATGGAGCTGTGCAATGTTCCCAAGTGTGGTAAGTGGACACACCTGACTCAATGCTGTTCAGGCTTTTAGCCAGAACTCTGAAAGAGGGTGTTCAATGTCGGCGACGACACACCCTAGAACGGGGTTCGAGACTATGCCCCTCTGGAAAACCTTCTCTTACACCCGTTTAAAAAAAATAGCAAACGTAAACAAAACATTTTAACCGTATTTAATACCAAATTAACAAAAAGAGCTAGATATACAAGCTAAAAGAAACTGCAGACCATCACAACAGAAATCTGTGTCGTGAACGACTTTTAAAGTTTGAAAAACAACAATTTATCCTCGAATAATCAAATTTAACTGTGCATTAACCCGTTTGTGCTAGACCATAGCGGTAATACTATGATTTTGTTGTGTTTAATTTTTCCAATAATTTTCACTAAAATATCTTGAAAATCGTTCTAAAACTTTTTATATAAAGCATACAAAGCATATACATCGACAATGATCCGCATAACTCAAAGTTGTAAACAATTTGAACTTCGTGACCGGGTGACAAAAAACTGACAACTCTAGTTATTTTCGGCTTAGTCACGTAATTTTGAAAACGGGTGTAAACAGTTTAAAAGTTTTACAGCTATTCATGTCAGCGTACTAAAGCTAATGAGCTAGTGACGAGATTTGCCTTTCCCCCAGAATTTTGGGCGTCCATATTTCGTTGTATGGCGTCCCAGGAGCTTCGCCATACAAGCCAGATGCTGTTTCAAACAACTTGTCATCGTCCTGCAATTCAACAACTTAACAAGTTGTGAGTAACAACCTCGTAGCAAATTGACAAAATTGACAAGATGTGAGATTTTACGTGGGCACTACAATATTATAGATACTTGTTATTTTTACAATATTGGATACTTCCTTTTAATAACAGTAGAGCGTAGGTAGTCGATGTGAAAATGTCGTGGTTATGAATTGTTTCCAGTGTTGCAGCATATTTCTTTGTTTCCTGAACTAGTAGGAGCAATACCTCCAAGTCTGGTGGCATGTTTTATGAAAGAAGCGACTTTTGAATGATAGCTAATGTGGTTTGTGAGAGACGTTTATTTAACACGGCGGCAAAGCTTTCGATCCGATCATCCAGTGATGAAGATAATTATCGAAAGCTTTGCGATAATAGGAAACGCGGTAACAAACCAAAATATATTTATCGAAACATCCAATATATCTGATAGATAATTGAATATATCCCAGCTTGTTATATATCATATTATTTTAAAAACTTAGACATGCGCTAGAGTCCGTTTGCAATGTCAGCTTTTTGTCTGAAAAAATAAAGTTGTGACAGCTTTATATATTTCCCTACTTCCGTAGTATACTACGTTCTCAGGTAGTACAATCAGGCAAGAACACACAACCTAGTTAAATGTTTTGTATCGCCATCAGGAGGCGCCAATTGTACGCATGCGCAAAACTGACTGTACCGCGCATCTTTAAGATGCTGAAAACGAATATCGTAGTTATCGTAGCATCTTTGTTCGTGATGCGAAAATTGGAAAAAATTAATTATTTGGTATTGCGAGCATGTATATTCCTGGTTTCAAATCTTGACCTAACAATGGTGAATTTTTTACCAGCTCCCGTTGGTACTCCATTGAATGGAACAGGCGAACACTACCTTGGTATCCTGGACACAACGAAGAAAGGGCCATGTCTACCTTGGAAAGACCATGAACCAGAACATAACTGGGCTCATAATTATTGTCGAAATCCTAAAGGAAACAAGAAAGAGAAACCATGGTGTTATATTGGCAAGGATGATTGGGAATATTGTGATCTGCCTAAAGTTTCTGCAAATAAATGTAAGTTACGCATATGTTGTTATATTGCATATTGGTGAACTTAAGGTTTAAGCCAGCGATATTTTTAACGTCAATGGAAAATTAGTACAACTAATATTGCCGGCATTTTGCATTATAGCACTCGTGTAAGGAAACAAAAAAGATATAAAAATCTTCTGTGTTGTCGTGTGTGTTGAAGATTACCACAAACTCGTACAAACACAGTTTTTAACCAGTTCCTGCTCGGCAATCTCACGTCCGTGTTGACAAAAATGTCGCTTGCTTAAGTCTATTGTAAAATATTTAATATCTGGTTCATCTCTCGCCACTCTGGGCAACCTCGTACCCAGGGCATTTTGCTTCCGGTCAGCGAAAATGGCCCTGGCATCGGCCGGTCACTTGACCTCAAAATCTCCAGTATTTGGGGTGTTCAATTATGATAATTTATGCGCATAAGTACGTATATAGAATAATGATATACATTGTAATAACCAGGGCCGCCGGGAGGTTGGCGGGGGCCCGGGGCAAATTTTTTTTAGGGGCCCCTATCTAAAAAATTTTTTCCGGAGAACAACCTCTCCCCGTCGCCAAAAAATTTTCGGTCAGTGTACCATTTTAGGGGTCAAAAATTTTTTCCGGAGTACAAAATTTTTCCGGACGAGGACGTTGCAATTGCTTTCGAGGGACTTTATCTCATTTTTTAGGCCAAAATTCGGTACTTAGCCCAAGAAAACAGACCTCTTGTTCTTTGCGCGGAAATATTTAACACACAAAAAAGGCTGGGGCCCAACAAAAAATGTTCAGGGGCCCCCAGCAACTCGGGGCCCGGGGCAATTTGCCCCCCCCCTGCCCCCCCCCTCTCTGCGGCCCTGGTAATAACTGGCAGGAGTAAACAAACTCAACGCTGCGTATATAATCAAAGGGAAAGCAACGAAATAAGTTGATTTTATTCGGTTTTCGTTGTTTACACCTCATTCAGCAACATAGCCCGTACTGATATTGATGACTATTAAACATATTCAGAGCCTGTTTAGCCTGTGATTCAATTCTGAATGAACAACCAAACAAAACAAAACAAAACCGCTTCAGCATTTGCCGACTGCCGTTTGGTTTATATAAATCGTGTTATGAGCAAATATATTGGTATCACAATCTTTGACTATAAGTATAACGCTGTACGTTTCTTGAAATCGACGATGTATAAACAACGCATGTGAGAAATTTATGTTGAACCGAATCAAATACTCGTCTATACAAATGTACAAAGACTTAATTTTAATTTACTCAATACTTTAGTCCTTCAAGAACTAATTATAAATTTGTCACTCCACTCTCGTTTCAACAAAATAATAATGATTTCCCCCGTATATTGAATAATTATATTCAAAATCATTGACCAATCAGGTTGCAAAACAGACCAGCCGATGCCAGGGCCTTTTTCGCTGACCATCCAACCGCGGAAGAAAAAAGCCCTGGGTACGAGGTTGCACTCTGGGTTCAGAGGTTTTCTGGTGCTAGTCAGTGCAGGCTACAGCGAAACAGATCCGGAATCCTCCTGATCCAGGGTATTCTCTCGCTAGTATTATATATTGAATTAGATGACGGTTATTGACTTGGCGCAGTGGCGTAGCCAGCACGACAATTTGGTCATGCTATGCAAATTTTAAATCATCATCATTAATTTCTTTAGAAATTGATTGTTTTCACCATAGTTAATAGAGGAGATGGTTTGGAAACTCGTTAGCATTACAATAAAATCACAATAAACCTCATTATCTATGTTGTTCAGGTTTATGCAAAAATGTGGTCTTTCATCGTCACGTGCGTATTGTATTTTTCTCAAGCCAACCAATAGGAATGTTCAAAATGTTCTATTGTTAAAGTCATGGATGGGCAATTGGACAAAACCGTTGCTATTGGCTGGTTGAGCAAAAATACAATACGCACGTGACGATGAAAGACCACATTTTTGCATAAACCTGAACAAAAACATAGATAGTGAGGTTTATTGTAATGCTAATGAGTTTCCAAACCATCTCCTCTATTAACTATGTTTTCACAGTCTATGAACACGGAAATAATTGCATAGCATGACTAAATTGTCGGGCTGGCTACGCCACTGACTTGGCGAAGTTGCTTGTGTTTCATATTGTGAGTTGCAGAAAGGCAGAAGCAGAAAATCAGTCTTTTAGATATAAGAAAGATTATTTGCAAAACCTTTGCGGTGCCGTGGTTGGAATTGAAGCAGAATCTTCGTAGAGTGAATAAGAGGGTTGTTGTTATTATGTCGAAAAGGACTTGTAGCAATTAAAGAATATAGGATGTTGGGTATGAGAAATTTTCGGTATAGCTATGTCGGAAAACGTATGGCAATATTATCGGTATACCGGATTTTTGGCCTTGATTGTTGTGCAGCGAAATTGATGATTTTGGCCTATGGAAAGTTTCGGTATATCCAAAAAATTCCAGTTTATTTGAAATTTCTGTATATTGGTTTACTGAACGGCCCTATTCTACTTTAAACTCACATAAATCGTACGATTGTGCTGCGTTAGTAATGTTACCATGTATGGTTGCAATGGTTTGTACATTTCACCTTTGTAAAGGACTTTGATTCGCATGCCAAAAGAGTGATTTGAGTTTGACTTTACCTAACACAACGGTTTAAAGAACTTTTACGATACCTTTGCTCTTTCCAACAACATTTATCACCTTCAGTATAATCGAGTTCCGTATTGCGGTGCCCAAACGAACTTTGGCATCGCTTTATGTTCGTTGCGTGAGTTTTTAGTCTGTTAGTTTGTTGGTCTGTTAGGAATCATAAGCATATTCATAAGCCATGTTATTTATTCAAAACTTCGCACTTGTGGTGCACTTGTTTCGCGCATGCTCCAGAGCACCGCACTCGATAATTTCTGGTTTCCATCTTAGCTTATTTTCCTTTCTGTAGTCCCTGACAGTGGTGGAGGTCATTTATCAAACCTCTTGTATACAGTTATACCATGTGTTGTGTTTGGAATGGTGGTGGCTATAGTCATAATAGCAGTGTGTTGGAAACGACATAAACAAGGTCCTGATACCATCAAGAAGAACACTAGAATGACGGTGACCGTCGTCTTACCAGAGGTAAGATTCTCTCTACAACCGAATTATTCATTACGTAAAAAGCCATCCGTGTCAACCGTCGCCAGTGATCGCCAATTGTATTTCTATTTTCTAACGTTATTTTCTTTTTTCCACTCCTCACAAAAACCCTGGCAAAAACCAACTCGCAAGCGCTGCGAATACTTTCATCCAATCACAATGCTCGACAGTTTATTTTAATTAGATGCAAGCACTCGCAGCAGGCTTGCGTGTTGGCTTTTGCGATAAATGGAAAAGAGCCTCTGCACTTGCAGCTTTTGCTGCGATTTTAGGTTAGAATTTCTTCGTCTGATGGATGTGAACGAGTTAAGAATGTTCAGATGAAGGCAAATATACTCAGAACATTCATAACTTATCTACTCGTTCACATCCATCAGAAGACTGATGAAAATTGCGACGGTAAGCGGGCCTTGACATAAAGCTGTACATTTATATTCGTTTGTGTTTTAGTTGCGCACCATCCCAGGAGAGAACATCTTGTTACCGAAGTGTCTTGGAAATGGCAAGTTTGGTTCTATGTACAATGGTGAGATCTGCTCTGAAGATGGCAGCCGTTTTAGTAGGTTAGTTAAGGTGGCTTTGAAAGATTCTAGTGAAGAATTCGTCAATCAAGCCAAGACATGGTCTCAGTTTCACCACCCGAATCTCCTCATTATTGAGGCAATAACTTCAGATAGTGAGCCGATGACCTTGGTCTACGAGTCAGCGGGGCATGGTAGCTTGTACCAATACTTGATCTATCATTCACCAAACAATCCGAACTTCACTAGAGACCATGCTTTACTGGATAAAGCTAACCTACTGGATATTTCACGTCAGATTGCAGCAGGAATGGCGTATTTGTCTTCTCACGACTATGTTCATGGTGAACTCATGACAAGAAATTGTCAAGTCGCACATTCGATGGTTATCAAAATAACCGACTTTACACTTGACCGTGGTGATTGTTACTGTCGACGACCAAACAAGCGACCTATAGCACTAGGCTGGATGGCCCCGGAGACCATACAAACAGAAACATACACGGTCCACTCAGACGTCTGGGCGTTCGGTGTGCTGCTGTGGGAAATCTTCACCTATGGTTTCCAGCCGTACTTTGGTTTCATATTCCCTGAAGTGCGAGAGAAAATCTTGAACATGGTGTTACTAGAACAACCACGAGACTGTATTCCTGTCGTTTATGAACTCATGAGAAATTGCTGGAAAAAGACCCCAACACATCGACCACAGTTTGTGGATCTTCACGACGATTTGAACACTTTGTGTAACGAATATCTCGAAGATGATGATGAACATGACTCGCGTTATATCACTGGCGTAAATTTATAATATAATATATTGACTTGTAAATAAATAACCTACCATAATGGTAAATGAATATAATGTACCCTGTTCATATTAAACTGCACATATATTTCTATTGGATAGTGTGTATTTGTTGTCTGAAAGACTGATGATGTTCAGTTCCACTTCACACTGCTGCTCAACTTTAGATACAAATGTCTAGTGATAATCGTTTATGCAGGTTCGTCGCAAAGCTTTTAAAGCAAGGGGGTGTAGGTATCTCATTTGCCATCAACAGGAGGTGGGCTCTGATCATCTCGATATACGATCGATTCTTTCCCAAAGGGTCACAAGCTTGGGGTGAAAAGCCCCTGCGTGCAATGCTGTCATTTTATCAAGTTGCTTGTCACAATTTGTTATCACGTTGTTAAATGACAAGGTGAGTACGAGTTGTTGGAACTTGTAATAAGTTCTCACCAAGGGGGAAACAAGCAATGTGAACACATCCTGATAACAAGTTGTTAAACCACGACGGGATCCCGGGATGTGTTGGCCGCAATCTCAATTCGCGAAAATATTTCATGCACTTAAACTGGATAAGACTCTCTACCAATCCCAGTTGACTCGATAGCTCAATGGCTAGAAACCGAAGATGCGTGTTTGGATTCCGCTAGAGAATAATACGAAACTAGTAAGGCAGCAACCTCGCATATAAGCCTGTTGCGAACACATCTTGTTGAAAAGTTGCGAGATTTTTACGTGTTCAAAGACGACGTTAAACCATTTAAACATGCATTTCCTCCTTGCAGAGAACTAAGGGTATTCCTTGATAATTGTCGGCGAAAGGCTTATGAATCAGTGAATTATTATTATTATTCATCTTATTTAAAAACGGTAGCCCTTCAGATTAAACTGCTTTTCAAGGGGCCGTTAGAACAATTACAAATATGAAAAATCTATTGTACATACTAACTGTGTAAAAAAGAAAGCCCATGCAATGAACACTATATATAAATTAGAATGACTCGCATATATAACTAGAAATAGTATGTTATGTTAACCCTCCCAGATGATGTCTTGTCCCATGATGTCTTGCTGTTCAGGGTAAGTGGTCTCGGGGGGCACAGAAATACAGCATCAAGTACAATAGACCTTGTGCATAATGACGTCACAAGGATTGATGCCCGCGAGGAATGCTGGTCTTAGTAGCATAGACGGATTTTCATATTTTTTACTGGGGTGGTGCCAGAAATTTTAGGGGGGTGAGCCGTGAGCAGGTGACTGAAGCAACACAAAGTGTCAGCAAACCCCAGTAAGGTCTATATTAGAGCACTAGAGCCGCGAGGGGGAGTCTAGAGAGCAGAAAACAAAGTATCCCTGGAAAAATTTGAAAAAAATCATGATTTCTAGCTTCGAAAAAACGTTTTTTGAAGTTGTCATATCAATGGATTTGGCCTGTCCGATCAGGGCCGTAGCTAGCATGTATAGTTGGGGCGGGGGGAGGGTGTAGGCCAAATATTTCCGAATGAAGAAAAAATTTTCCGAATATTTCATGGCATACGAAGCAACGAAGGTGTTTGCTATCTGGAAAATGAAGACGCAATTTACAAACAAAAATACACATAGCCCACATAGTTTCCACAAAGACATATTACAGAAGTATGCAGTGCCGTAGGAAGCTCTTTTTGATTGGGGGCTGGGAACGTGGGCCGAAGGCCCGGGGAAATTTTTAAATTTAGATTCTCTGAAATGCCATTTCCTGGACTTTGGGGGAAGTTTTGACAGAATTCTGATGGTCAGAAAACAGAGTTTTAATATGATATTTGTGATGTTACTCTGAGTATGCATCCACAGTGGGCAAGCTGAAAAGTGTGCCTGGCCACGGTGGGAGTCGAACCTGCGACCTTTGGGATACTAGTCCAATGCTCTTCCACCTGAGCTACGTGGTCAAGTCGGTTCGACTTGTTGATATTTCGGAACTGAATCTAGTTCCTTCGACATCAGTGTAATCTTTGATATGATTTATGTGTGTGTGTTGGTGTTGTGTACTCAAGTGAATATGATGTTTGTGATGTTACTCTGAGTATGCATCCACTGATCCACACCGGGCAAGCTGAAAAGTTAGCTTGCCCACGGTGGAAATAAAACCCACGACCTTTGGGATGCTAGTCCAATGCTCTGCCAACTGAGCTACGTGGTAAAGTCGGTTTGAGTTGTTAATAGAGTTTTAGTATGTCGAAATTTACAATTTGCTTACAATTTAGCAGAATTAAATGGGCGAAGTCGTATTTAGCTATATATTGGAGAAGTTGCAGGAAAGAGTATGGGTAATATAATTCTTTGCGGTTTGTCATGGATAATGTAGCCGCTTAAAATTAACTCAATTGTTTAAATGATAAAGGTGTGCATGATTTTGAAAAAAGTCTGATTATCAGGTTTATGCGCGATATACCAAGTCACGGGTGACGTCACAAGTCAAGAGTGACGTCACACCAGTAGCAAATAATGGAATTATATCATTTCACTTTGTTCTTTGTTTTTTAAATAATACTAGTTTTAGCTACCTATTTGTTTTGGATCGTCAGGCTTTTTGGCCGGTGCATTTGGATCGTTTCCTTTTTGTAAGATCATTCGGATCTTTTGCTTTTTGGCTGGTGCATTTGGATCGTTTCCTTTTTGTAGATCATTCGGATCATTTGCTTTTTGTAGATCATTTGGATCATTTGCTTTTTGTGGATCATTTGGATCATTTGCTTTTTGTAGATCATTTGGATCATTTGCTTTTTGTAGATCATTTGGATCATTTGCTTTTTGTAGATCATTTGGATCATTTGCTTTTTGTGGATCATTTGGATCATTTGCTTTTTGTGGATCATTTGGATCATTTGCTTTTTGTGGATCATTTGGATCATTTGCTTTTTGTGGATCATTTGGATCATTTGCTTTTTGTGGATCATTTGGATCATTTGCTTTTTGTGGATCATTTGGATCATTTGCTTTTTGTGGATCATTTGGATCATTTGCTTTTTGTGGATCATTTTAGATCATTTGCTTTTTGTAGATCATTTGGATCATTTGCTTTTTGTAGACCATTTGGATCATTTGCTTTTTGTGGATCATTTGGATCATTTGCTTTTTGTGGATTATTTGGATCATTTGCTTTTTGTGGATCATTTGGATCATTTGCTTTTTGTAGATCATTTGGATCATTTGCTTTTTGTGGATCATTTGGATCATTTGCTTTTTGTGGATCATTTGGATCATTTGCTTTTTGTAGATCATTTGGATCATTTGCTTTTTGTGGATCATTTGGATCATTTGCTTTTTGTGGATAATTTGCTTTTTGTGGATCATTTGGATCATTTGCTTTTTGGGGATCATTTGCTTTTTGTGGATCATTTGGATCATTTGCTTTTTGTAGATCATTTGGATCATTTGCTTTTTGTGAATCATTTGGATCATTTGCTTTTTGTGGATCGTTTGGATAATTTGCTTTTTGTGGATCATTTGGATCATTTGAAATTCAAGCCGCCAGGCGCCAGAACAAAAATCAAACTTGCGCGTACGGCGCAACCAGCATTATATAAACAATTAGTCGTCTGTAGCTACTATTGCGGTGCAGGGGACGTTTAAGCGATAAATAGTACTGTATTATTTAAAATAAAGCTTTTGATACAAACGTTTAGTTGCTTTCTTGTGATATACGAAATCCAGGCTGGTGGTCCGTTAATTTGTTTAGAAAT